AAATATGAACTCCAAGTGCAGTAATACTCTCCAAGAGTTCTGATCAGATCAGAGGCAGATCACTGGAGGCTTGGAGTTCAACCAGCCCGACCACCACCACCAAAAAAACTAAAAGAACTTTTCTTATTTATATAAAGCATGAGAAACTGGTCCTAGCAAGGAACATGTCTGTAATTCCAACAGCTCAGGAGGCTGAAGCAGAAAGATCACAGGTGCAAGGTCTTGTAGGGTAAGAGTTGCAGGCCAGCCTAGGGGTACCTGGTGAGGGGCGAGAGGATGGCTAAAGATACAGTTCAGTGGTAACGCTCTGTTCTAGCTTGTGAGAGCCCCTAGCTTCAATTCCAGTACCTGACCTCCAAGGAATGAGAAATAGAATAATAGAAATAAACTTTAGTAATGTACTAATACCTGCCTGAATTCTCAAAACTCCAGCAGCAAAGAGTGATGGCACATTCCTTTAACCCCAGCAACTCATGGGAGTTCAAGGCCAGTCTAGTCTGTTTCAGACCACCCATGACTATGTCTCAAAACACTAACGAACAAAAACTCCAGCATGGTACAAGCAGGGAATCCTGGCACTTAGACCGGAGTACTGGGATCTTCTGTAGGATACTAGCCTGCGCTACAAAGCACAGTAAAATCCTGTCCTTAAAAACACAAGGGGCTAGAGAGATGGCTCAGCACTTGCTCCTCTTTCCCAAAGGGCTGGAATTTCATTATGACCACCCACATCAAGTGATTCACAAAAGCCCCTGGACTCAGCCCAGGGGGTTCTCATGTCTCTGACTTCCTCAAGCACCTGCACTTATGTGTACACAGCCACCTCACACCCCATACACACGTCTACAGATAATAAAAATGAAAATTAAAAACTTACAACATACAGTCTTTTAATAGAAAAGGGAGACTTTCAGGTGCAGCTCAGTGGTAGAGTGCTTGCCTAGCATAAATGAGGCCTTGGATTCGATCCTCAGTTGTCAAAGAAAGGAGAGTTGGGTGTGTTGACACACGCCTTTAATCCCAGCACTCAGGTGGCAGTTAGGCAGATATGTGTTAGTTAGAAGCCAACCCGATGTACCAAGTTCCAGACTGCTGGGGCTACAGTGAAACCTCGTGGGGGTAGGGGAAAGGAAGGAGAGAGGGAATAAGGAAGCAGGGGGGTGTGGCTGTTCTTCACGCCCACAACTGAAGAACACTACAAAAGGCAGGGTGAATTCAAGGTCATTCTGAGCTAGAAAGTGAATCCCTGTCTCAAAAAAAGAAAAACCGCCGGGCGGTGGTGGCACACGCCTTTAATCCCAGCACTTGGGAGGCAGAGGCAGGCGGATCTCTGCGAGTTCGAGACCAGCCTGGTTTACAAGAGCTAGTTCCAGGACAGGCTCCTGTCGAAACCCTGTCTCGAAAAACCAAAAAAAAAAAAAAAAAAAAGAAAGAAAAAACCTCCATAGGGAGGAAGTAAATCTAGCTTACAGGGTCTAACTATGTAGCCGAGAGATCCTGCTGCCTCTAGTTCTAGGGAGTATGCCATCATGCTCAAGTCAAACTCAGTTTTTGCCTAAATTCTATTTTTTTTTTTTTTCGAGACAGGGTTTCTCTGTGGTTTTGGAGCCTGTCCTGGAACTAGCTCTTGTAGACCAGGCTGGTCTCGAACTCACAGAGATCCGCCTGCCTCTGCCTCCCAAGTGCTGGGATTAAAGGCGTGCGCCACCACCGCCCGGCTTTGCCTAAATTCTAGAACTCCCATACAGTGTTTGTTAAAATTGTGTCTTGACTAGCCAGGTGGTGGTGAGCACGCCTTTAATCCCAGTACACCTTTAATCCCAGCTCTCCGGGAGGCAGAGGCGGGCGGATCTGTTGAGTTTGAGGTTAGCCTGGTCTACAAAGTGAGTTCCAACAGGCTCCAAAGCTACACGGTCAAACTCTGTCTCGCAAATACAAAATAAAAGACTGTGTCTTGGGCAGCCCAGGCAAACACACACACACATATATCCAAGAGCTGGGATTACAGGCATAAGGTAAAATTTGTACATAAGAACATTTTTGTATGCATACAAAATTCATCTTTCATGCCTGTTGGAGCCCCTGGACTGGAGTTAGGGATGGCTGTGAGGCATCGAGTAGGTGATGTCAATCAAACCCCATCTCTGAAGAGCAACAAGTGAGTAATAACCACCTAACCACTGAGCCATCTCTTCAGGCGCCATTTCATTTTTTAAATAAGGAAGCTAATACAAGATACTCTGTGAAATTTTGGAATGCCCAGGCTGATGATGGGCCTTGGTCTTAGGAAGTATGAATCAAGGGCAACACCATGACAAAGTGGCTTCAAAACTGATGACACTGAGAGACTCTGGGGCCAACCTGTGCTAAAAGAGACCCTGCTGAAATAAAATAAGGGTAAGAGGACACTGATGAGCAAGAGATCAGAAAATAAAGAAACCTTGGGCCTGGGGTGTGAAGCTTAGCAGTAAGAGCCTAGCAAGTGTAAGGTCCCAGATTAGATACCCAGCACTGCTTAAATCAATTTAAAGTTTCAGCGGGGTGTGGTGGAAATGCCTGTAGTACTAACATCTGAGAAACAAGTAGAGGACCAAAGAAGGGTGAGGCCAACCAGGTCAGCCAGGACTACAACAAGGCACTATCTTAGTTTAGTAAAATAAGCATGACAATAAATAGGGCTAGTGTTTACTAATTATGTACAGATGTTTAAGAATTTTCCTACTGAGAAAGTGGAGGATTAGGACTCAAGACCGACCCTAGGCCCTTACAGACTGTGTTACACTGCCTCCTAAAGGTAAGGAAAGGTGACAGGGCAATGACCACAACAAAACAGCAAATTCTCCTCAAAGTACTAGGAAACTGTCACTAATATTAGCAAGGGAAAGAGTTTCAGGTGGCTTTTTTTTTTTTGAAGAGCAAGCTATCCCTCAAACTAAGGTTAGCTACAAATTAAGAAAAATGATCAATTCAAAGTGGTAACACCTAAAATTCAATCAAGGAGACTAATATATAACCCCTAAGGATTTAACAAAATGCCCTAAAAAAGTGGATGTCTCCTAGATCACATTAAAAGGCACTGTCATTAAGGGGATGGGAAGGGGTAGGTCAGATCAAGTTGAGTAAATTTTTAAAAAAAAAAACAAAAAACCTAGGAATGAGCTGAGATCCAGGCAAATAAATGCCTGCAGGATACACCCATAGTAGTTCTACCATAAGGTTATCCAACTAACTCCCTCTCCCGGAGATGCGGATCACTGAGCAGCTAATTATAATTTTCAGTCCCAATCATGTTTGCCTACAGAATAGAATATTCTTGGTCCACTGTAGACTAAGAAAACACAATCCATTTTTTAAAGTTTAAAATTTCAAAATTGTTAAGTTTTTTTTTAAAGTTGTAAATACTAACCTACCAATATATGAAAAACACAGCTTTCCATTTCTACAAGCCACGACATCTACCATCTTACTAAAAACCTTCAGGTATCTATCACTTAACTCTTTAACGCCTGAAATGCATCTTCTGTAAAACAGAAACAAAATTACTGCCCAGAGTAATGAGAATGAGCCTGGCACACCTACAACAAGACAAATGTTAGTGCCTCTTCTCATTACATAGGCCCTAGTCTCAGCTGTCATCCAGGGTTTAAGGCAATTTACTAAAAATTTCTAGGCTTTACATTCTTGAAAAAACAAGCGACCTTCAGCCAGGCGTGGTGGCACACACCTTTAATCCCAGTAATCCCAGGCAAAGGCAAGGTGGGCCTGAGTTTGAGATCAGCCTGGTCAACAGAGTGAGTTCCAGGGCAGTCAAAGTTACATAGCGAGACCCTCATCTCAAAAAACAGTGATCTTCCTTGTAAGATTTAGGAAAAGTGATTTCTGAAAATATCAAAATCAATCCAAACAAACCCCATTTCCCTGCCTTCTGGGGAAAACAAACAAACATGCTTTTAAACCTAAAGCCTCTGCTAGATGAGCTGATTAGCTGTGAGCCTAATAAACTACATAGTGTACTATGATGAGCAACAGGCTGGCTCCCATCAACGCCACAGTGAGGTACTAATACCTGAATGCCGACTTCCTAAAAATCAATAACTAGCTAGCAATACAAAAGGCTGACACCACAGGTCGTCTGAGTCATAGGAGTTCAAAGGAGAACTGATCAGTATCTGTTTGACTTTAAAAGGGCTATCAAAATGGTTAGGTTATTATAAGACTGTTTTAAGAAAGAATTGCTTTGTAACTCTGGACTGCCGGTTTTCCAGGGAGTGAATGATCCAATCACTTCACACTAAATACTTCCAAAGCCGAGCTTAACTCTTCATGTATGCTACCCTGAACAAAGTTTGTGAAAAGGGCAATGAGAGAGTCTTAGAGGAGAAATACGGACAAAAGCAAGCAACTAAAACTAAAGTTAGTACTTTACCAAGAGCGTTCACCAGAGATGGACACCTCCACATTTACATATGCCTCTCATATTTCACATTATCTCGACCTGACCTGAGAATTTAAGAGGGAACTGCCAGTAGCACCAAAGCTGAAGGAAACTGCTTAAATCCATTCCTCGGGCTACTTCTAGCACTTTCGTGTGTACCAACACAAGGCTGTTCTAAAATCTGCTCTGATAAAAAAAAACTTTTAAACTTTTTGACCGAAAGTCAATCCTAAAGTTAAAATCTCTTTCGGATTCAATCTCCTAGACAAACGCTTAGTCATAAAAAAAAAAAAGATAAATCCAGCGCTACCATTAGAGAACTGTCGTTCCACCCCTCCCCCAATACATCCACAACTTTGGAAAACTTTGTTCCCAGGCTTTCTAAACCCCTACGCAGAAGCTCCCCCGAACCTCTCTCGATGGGAACGACGCCTTCACCCGGAGGATCTTTATTTTTTCTTTATCCGCTGTAGTTTTAGTCTTTCTCACTGATAAAACCTTTCCCGAAAGATCTCCAAAATTAAAAGTAAAAAAAAAAAAAAAGCAAGAGCAGGATCTACTGTACCTGGGCGTTGGCTTCGTGGAGTTTGTGCTCGGTGGAGACGTGGTGCCTGAGGAGCAGGGTCTTCTTGTAGTTGCGGGTCCCTCGCGAAAGCTCGTCGTGCCCCACCGGGGACAGGTCCGCGCCGCCGCCATCCTCGGGGGGCTTGTGGCACCAGCCGCAGAACATGAGGCCGGTATCCCTGGAGTAGCGCAGCCACGGGAAGTCCTTGAGCCAAGAGGTCTGGAAGGAGCACTGGAGCTTCTGCAGGAGGGACTTGGGCCTCGCGAGCGGGAAGTGCTGGACAGCCTCTCCGTCGCCAGCTCCCACACCGCTGCCCTCCGCGTCGTCCCCGCCATCGCCTCCCGACCGCCTGCTGCTACTGCAGCTGCCGCCTTCCGCCCCACTGCCGTCGCCCGGGCTCGCCCCCTCCTCCTCGTCCTCGGTGCTGTCGCTCAGGGACGCGCCGTCCTGCATCAACTCCTTCCCCTCCAGCGCGTCCAGCTCCAGCTCCACGGCCGCCGGCCCGCGCCCATTGAAATGCCTGAGGGGCCACGCCGAGGTCTCCGGGCGGCCGCGGCTGCTGCCATTGTTGCCGAGACCCCCGGCGCCTCCCCCGCGGAAGGCCAGAGTCCGACGGTTCCTTTCCGCTAGCAGGGGGCCCCCCGCGCCGCCGCCCAGCGAGGCGGGGCCGCCCGCGTCCTGAGGGAGCAGCAACTCCTTGGCGTCCTCGGCGGCGGCCGCCCCGGCGGAGGCCTCCGAGTCCTGGGGCTCCAGGCCCTCCGAGTCCATTTCCTCGTCGGCCCCGCGCCCATTGGGCTGCTGCGGCGCGGGCGGCGCGGGCTGTCGTGGCTGCGGCTGCGGAGGCCAAGCCGAGGCCTCCCCGCCGGCGTTATTGTTCGTGGGGCCGCCGCCGCCGCCGGTGATCAACCCGCCTCCTCGGAACGCCAGCGTCCTGCGGTTCATCTCACTGAACGACATGGCGCGCGCCGCCGCCGCCCGGTGCCTCGGCTCGCACCCGGCCTCGGGCCCCGTCCCGCGCGCTCGCCGCGGCTCCCCCAACGTCTCGCCCCCGCCCCCGCCCCCGGCGCTGCGCCGCTCCGCGCTGCGCTCCCGCCGGCCCGGCCTCACCCTCCCGCCGGCTGGCGCTCGCTCCCGGGCCGCCGCACGCGTCCGCCGCCGCCGCTGTCCCGGCCGCGTCCTCTCCGCCCCGCCCCGCCCCGCCGCGCTCCGGGCTGCGTCCCCCCGCGGGAGAGGTGGGCGGGCGGCGGAGCGGCGAGCCGGGGCGCGTGCGGCCTTCGAAGTTGAGGAGGAGTGCGGGCGGGCGGGCGCCCCTCCGCTGCCCCGCTTCAGCGCCGCGCGCGCACACCGGCCCGCCAACAGCTCTCCGTCCTCGGGGGAGCCGCGCCGCCGACGCCGGCTGCCGAGGCGCGGACGCGAGAGGCGCGCTAAGCCGCCGGGCTCGGCCACATAGCGAGCCGACAATAAAGCCGGCGGAGCGTTTCCGTCCGACCAGGCCCTGGCGGAGGTCGAATGGCAAATGAACAACGGACCGTGCGCCCACAATGCACCGGGGTAGCAGTAACCGCTGGAGGGGGAGAGGGTGGGGGCCGGCCGGGGGAGGGGGCGGGCTGGGCCGGGCTGGGCTGGGCCGGGGGCGCCCGGGGACCGGGAAAGGGGCCGGCCGCTCGGGCCTGCGGGCGGGGGTGCGGCCGCGGGAAGGAAGCGGGCGGCGGGCGGCGGGCGGGGCTCGCGCGGGGCCGGGGTCTCGGGGCGGGGCCGGCTCGGCCAGGACAAACAGCTGGCGGGTGTCAGGGACCGCCTCGGCGCCGCGCGCCCCGGCGCACCGTGCCCGGCTCTCGCCACGACTTCACCTGGGACTCCAGGAGGAACTGCGCTGGCAGCGCGCGGCAGCCGTGGCATCTGCTGAGGGGTGGGTGGCCGTGCCCGAGGAAGTGAACTTATTTTGTTCCTTCACAAAAGACTGGACCAGGCGGTGCCTTCCTCGCGAGGACACCTCCTCGGGCGCCTTTTGTGCGCCGGGCAGCACCTCTGGCCCCGGGCGGTGATCGTTTCGCAGAAAATGCACCGCCCCGAGTGTCTTATTGCTGTGATGAAATGGAAATTTAAATAAAAGGTCGAACACGTGCGTTCACTGGGAAGTATTGACATGGGTGTTACATCACCAGCAGCCAATCAGATGACTCCAGTCGTGTTTATACTTCTACAACCACCTTGTGAGTATTACAGTATGTCATAGCGTTATAAATATTAGGCAGGGTTTTCCCCACGAGCGGGGAGGAGTCAGCTGCTGCGGGCGCTGCGTGCGGCTGCGAGGAGAGAGCCGCTCCGGAGACAGCCCGAGCGGATGAGAATGAATTTTCAGGACTTTGAGAAGACGCTGTTGGCATCGCGTGTGGAATTTAGAGCGATTAGGACGGTCGAAGCCGCAAATGAACCTCCCGTAGTTCTCGTAGTCGAGTTTTTCAGGAAGAGGCTTGCCAATTAGCCCTTAAACTTACCTTCCCCCTTAATTATGCTCTATTTGGAAAACATTAACACGTTTAGACTTTTACTAATTTACACACTGTTTTCATTTATTTGGTTTTTTTTATTTTTTATTTTTTGAAACAGGATCTTCCAGGAGGCAGGTGGATCTCCGAGTTTCACGTCAGCCAAGGAAACACACTGAGACTCCAAAATTAAACAGGGCCCTGCTATCTAGCCCAGCCTGATCGTGAACAGCAGTTCTCCTACCTCAGTATCCCTAGTGCTGGAATTGAAGGTGTACACCACCATGCCCCACAAGATTAATCTTAAAATTCTTTTGTTCAAGCTTATTTCAGGCTTTTATTTCCTTTTTCTTTTCCTTTTTTGATTTTTTTTATTTATTTAAAGACAGGGTCTCTAGACTCTGGCTGTCACTAGACCAGGGTGGCCTCCAACCCACAGAGATTCCCCTGCCTCGAGCCTCCTAAAGGTATATACTACCATGCCTGACTCCCTTTTCCCTTTTGGGTGGGCTGGGCTGGGCTGGGGTGGAGAGAGGAGCCAGCAAAGATTCTCTCCACTTTACAGTTTTCAAGATGCTGGAGACTGGATGGACAGCTGTTCTTCCAAGGAGCTGGCTGGCTCCTGGAGCTCCAGCTACTGGGATGTGACAGCTCATCCGTCCCCAGGCACCAGGCAGCCCATGGTGCACAGATATACATGCAGGCGATACACAAATGCACATAATTTTTTTTAAATTTAAAGCTATGTGTTACAATTCTCCAAAGTGTTATAAATTACTGTTTGCCAATAGGGGTTTTTATTTTTGTTTTTGTTTTGTGAGCCGGCTTTCTCTGTAGCCTGGCTGGCCTTGACTTGGGTCATGGTTTTGTCACCATGCCCAGCTACCTAGATGGAGTTTTTGGGTTATTTTGTTTAAAGGTCTCACTTCATACCTCTGGTTGCCCTAGAACTCAGTGTGTAGCTCAGGCTGCCTTCTAACTCAGGCAGTCCCACCTCACTTAAGTGCTGGATTCAAGGTGAGAGCCACTGTGCCCAGTTGCCTTAACGTTTTTAATTGAACTAAACACAAGCATGAACGTTGAGATTTGTGTTGGTGCTGACTTTTCAAAGCCACTTTGACTTAACTTACCTTAATTTTAGGATCCGAAGTACTGCAGTTTTGTATATGAAATTGGTTAATTCCAGTGTGAGCTTGTGTTTTTTTGCCTGAGTTCGTCTATCACCTGTAAGGAACAACATAATTTCAGTGTGAAGACTGACAGGACTGCAGTTGCACAGAAAGCCGTGGGGCTTGAGTTATCTTCCCAAATGAGCATCTCATCACCTACATACATTGTCATTGGTCGCCAGATGCTGTAGCCACTTACTCTGATACCGTTGGTGAGCTCTGGTTGTTGATGTTAAGAGAGCCTGCACCTACCTTTACCTTGGAGTACGAAGAGAAATTTACCTGCTGTAGCTGCTGCAGTATAGGAAAATGTAACAACATGCTTGGTTTCCCATGCATTTTTTTTAAATTCTAGGCATTTTAGAAATAAGTACATAATTATATTTTAACCACACAGCCTCTCCCACTTGAAAATTAGTTATCAGATTAAGATGTTGAGGCATGTCGTCTGTATGTCTGTTTTATTCCAATACTAATAAATCTTACTTCATCTCAATCTTGTATCCCTAGCTAATATATAATTACTTTATCAAGTTATGGTATTATTTGCTTTCTTGTAGTGATAGGCAATCAAAAAAGTTGGGATCCTGGTGGCGCTCAGAGCGCCTTCCCCTCACACCTGCACCCTAGTTGTTGCGTCTACACTGTTGTCAGATGCCGTGACGGTGACGCACCACTGCGGTCTCAGAACCCGGGAGGCCGAGGCCGGAGGACCAGCTCAAGCTTGCCTCCGTTACCTGTCAGGCTTTCGGCCAGCCTGGGCTACACAAGACCCTGTCTCAAAAATACACTGATGATCAAATATTTAATTTAAATAAAATCATTTTCACATTGTGTTCTCTCTGGAAATTGAGGAGGAGCAAATAAAGAACGAATGGCGGTGGGGTGGGGGCGATGCTCACAAGTACCTCCTCTTCCTGCTCCACAGGCAGCCTGCCCCTGGCACACACAAACACACACAAATGTGTGAATGCCGTGGGAGTCGGGTCTCAGTATGTCGGCAGAGTTGGTGGCGTGCTTATCTAGCGTGAAGCCACGGTCTCACGTCTTGTACACAGGCATGCTAGCACCATGTCCGTGGTTAGATCCCCAGGACATGCTAGCACATCCCTGTGATGTAAGTAGAGGGAGAGAGCCACGAGCTAAAGGTCATCCTTAGCGCACAAAGTCTGGGGCCAGCCTGGCGTTCAGGAGCTCCTGTCTCAATAGAAAGGTGATGAATGGTTGAATGATGCTACGTTCATGGAAATGATTTAAATTCTACTACCACTGAACTGGTTAACAGCCAGATAGTAGCAGGGAGAGTAGCTGTGTGTGTCCTCTTTTCAGTGGTCTGCCTCTCAAACCTAAAGGAGATGAGAAGCAGATCTGTACCTCCAAATACCCTGTGCCAAGGGAACTTTGAATCACAAGGGGATCTCCTCTGTAAATGGAGTTTTTAGGAATTCCCCCACCCCTTCCAGTCTCCCACTAACAGGCAGGGACCTGTTCTCTCCTGTAGCCCCCTTACTATTAGGGTTCTGCCATATTCAAGGGAATTCCCCCTGATGCTTACCAGGGGAACCCCTGAAGAATGGGGCAATCCCAAGCAATTTGTCCCCTAATTTCATCTAATCTGTGTAAAACCTCTGGAGGTGATGTTTCGTGCTGTCCCCGTGGGCCTGATAGGGATGACCCTCTAGCCCTGCCGTAGCAGCTGCCGGGCCAGGCTGCACCGTCCGCAGCGCCTTGGTAGAGGGCGTTTGCCTTCAGCACTTTGAATCTTTAGGCTCCAGAAACAGTGGCCCAGGCTTCTGCGGAATTGGCACAGGTCCTCTCCCAGGAAGATGGGGATGATTTAACTGAATAAGGTGCTAGGCCCAGCCTGTCAAAAGCCAGCCACCAATAAGCTTTGGGAAATGCTTACCATGTCTTTCCTTGTGTAGTCCAAAACTGTGAGCCTGTTCCCATGTTGGCCAAAGGTCAGAGAATTGGAACTTACTTCTAGTTCCTTCAAGGGTGTCGTGCTTCTGCCTCAAACCAAAGGTTCCTCCTATTGTAAATCAGAGAGTTCTGCTCTCTCAAGGTTATTGTCAGTAGGTGTGGCTAATAGCCAGACCTTGTATTTCAGGAATTGAGAAGTAGACATGTTTCTACCTCAAATAGAAGTCTAAAGATCCGACTAAGGGTGCAGTTCCTTTAGGGAGATTTCTTGTATCATGTTAATGAAGTTTTTTGTCTTAGTCCTACCTTTTGGGGTCAGTGGTATTTGAACCAACTGGAAATTAAATGCCGGCAAAATTTCAGTACTTGCTGGAACTCCATCCCGATACTATTCTGTGTTTCACCATTTTATTATTTTTATTTGTATCTTCATATTCTTTTCTATATTT